TAAATTGAATATAATAATGTGGGGTGTGGATGTGGATGTCAGCAAATAGAAGATCCACTCATACCCACACCCACACCCAGCTGCTTGAAATACGCAAAAATTATATCATGTAATTGATATATGTGAAGGTGTCATTGAATGTCGTTTATTTAGTCCATCAACATGTTATTGAACAGCAAATTTTTGAATCTATTTTATTAAAGAGTAGACTTTTTATAAACATGTTTATATCATAATGTAATAACAAAAAAGTATGTGTTTTTAGAAAGAAATACAAGAATTTCGTTATAGAATTCGTTCTGAATTGCTCTGAGATTCTCTGAACGAAGTTATGGTGGATAACCCTCGGAAGTAAAAAAAGTTGTAAAAAATCTTGCTGAGTGCATTACCGAAAAGCTTTAATAATAACTCTTTATAGAGATAAGCTTTGTGCAAGCAAGCCCCATGGTTACCAAGCCTATCATCTTAGCTCCAAACTCATATAAAAACATTTTCTTGGACGCGTATAAATTCGTAGGAATAAAAACTTCTTTGCATGGGACTAATGAACAGGAGTCTTTTTATGAGTGCATTACCAAGGTTTTCTGAACCTCTAAACCCACGATAGTATGTTCAAATGAGATCAAATTTTTAGCAAAGGTAGATCTTCGAGTTATCTCGTAAAACTACAAATTTCAGCTCTTTACTACTTACGATTCTTGAGTTATAGGAATCCGAAGGTCAAAAATGGGTGAGTGCATTACCTATGGACAAGCTGTCAAGTCAGTGTTGTACATGAGTGGAGTATTGCAGGAGACAATGATAATAATGAAGATTTAATAATATGGGAAAGGACAGAACCATTTGATGGCGAAAAAGAATTATTTTTTCGAAATACGATTTCACCTTTAATTCGTTCATCAATTGGAAATCCATTTTCATCTCAAATTATTAATCGTCATTTATCTTTTAGAGATATTTTATAAATATTAATTATATTTCAATCACTTGATAATTATTCTGTTATTTAGAATCGAATAGGAAAACGATATATTACTTATTCTATACTTTGTATTGGAAATTTAATTGGAAGATTCATATTTGGTCTCAAATCTATTTATATGGAATACATCCCACAATGATTAAAGGATAAACACAAACTAAAACATCAATAATGAATATGCAACATATTTGTCTTGTTTTCTCGATTTTTTTTTCTGTAGAAATTGTTCAAATAAAAAAAAAATTATTTTATAATATTTGAGTTTGATATACAGATGTGGTGGCACATAGTGCTTTTCTTCCTATTATTGTTTCTTAATCCATTTTTTCAATTAATTAAAATGTGTCATGGCAGACTCTTTTCGTTTTTCTTTGTATAAATACTCGCACTCTTTATTTTTATTAAAATTTCAAAATAAGTATTTCTTCACTCAGCAGATAAAACTGTAACAGCAATTCTAATTTAAATGTGATAAAAAACTATTCAAGAATAAACTTATATGTTCTAATTGTTAGACAGAAAGACATATATTATATTCTAGTTTTGTATAACAATGAAAATATTGTTTATTGTAAAAACCTAATCAATGATAGAATGCATAATCACACACGAAAAAAAAATACTCGATTTACAATCATAAAAATACTATTTTATTCGACACCAAGCTTTGGTATCTGGTGCCGGTTGGAGACCATAACATTCTCGTGCATATTGATAACGTTGAATTCTTTCTTTTTGCAAAGTTTCGCCATCGTCACTTGTACATTCCCATGAATTAAGTATATATGTTGTCTTACCGAATTCACCATTTGCTGCCAGAGGACCCATTCCATTTTTGTTCCAAAACCAAATTGCTGTTTTACATGCCAACGTTTCATCGTCTGCAACTAGCCAAGGTTTCTCCCATAACTCATCTCCCAATCCTAAATCTTGCCCGGCAGCAGCATAATTAGCCGGATACGACAATTGAAACCAACCACGACCATAATATAGGTTTCCTGGTTTTGGCTGGATTGAACTCCAATTGTTCTGTTGATAATTATGCCATGAATTATTTCTTCCACAATATTCTGTCAGTGTTCTTAATCCATCTGTTTCATGCGCGACATGTCCTAAAAATGCAGCAATTTCTTCTTTATTTGATGGTTGCCATCCCATTTCTTTGCTGGCTGTTTCCAATGCTTTAAAACGCTTGTCTGATTTAGCATCATCAAGTTCACGAAATATTTTACGAAATTTTTCGCGACTAATCAGATTAGAAGATGCCATAAATGACCTATAAAAAAGAAAGAAAAGAGAACCTATATAGAAATTCGATTTTTGTTTTTCTCTATTTGTTTTTAACACAAATAATAACGATTAGTAATATTGTTTCTACTGAAATTAATAAAACAATCGTATAGGCATGTCAGTTGTAGTCAACAAACTGATAAAAATGTTAATATGAATAAAAAAAGAACGAATCTATAATCATTATTGGGTAAAATGATTATTAATTTTTTTATGAAGAAAATGAAATATATAGTTTTTTATTCAATAAATTCAACTGTTTCAAAAACAAATAATTCTAATGATTTATTAACAAATTCTGAATTTATAAAATATTTGTAATAAAAACCATAAAGAAAATAATACAAAAAAAAGAAAATAGAGGTTATTAATACTTCTTACTTGGGTATTATAATACAAAAAAGAATGTTCTATGGATGTTTGTAGAAGTAAAGGATTAGCTATTGGTATTTATACGGCCGTTTTTATCAGTGATTCACAATTATTACTCATCATATATAACGTATTTATTTAGCATTTCATTGGAATTTTCCAACATGCAGAAACAATCACATTGGAGTTATTTCATGTTGTCATAAAAAATAACAACCAACCCTTTCAATCTTGACATTTTTTTTCCATTCTGCGAATGTGACGATTTTTAGATAGAAGGAGCGTCAGCGCTGATGGAACTACGCTTTATTATATTTCTTCTTATCAAGAATCGCATCGCTTCCAAAAAAAATACACACTTATGCACTCATCTATCAGAGAGAAAAAAAGAATATGAAAGAAAAGAATAATAAGACATGGCTCAAAAGCAATATGGTACGGACAAAGTACAACATGATGCAGAAAGTAAGGAGAAAAATATATAAAAGGAAGATCAAACATCATGCATACAGAATACACTTAACGGGAGCGTTACATGCATGTCATCTATAAAATGATATGCCAGATGGCGGGGTTAACAAAGAAAAACGAAGAAAAATAAATGATAGAAGTTGGAATTTCTCTACTTTTTTTAAGCAATAAATTGAAAAATACAAATATTAAAGAGTTGTATTTGAACTTATACTTCGAAAAAAAATACTTTCTACGTTGATTTCAAATACAAAACAATGATGCTAAGAATTCTTTTTTCACTTCCATTCGATCTTCAACCCTTTTATTCCAAAACGAAAAAGAACAATTTATAAACATCTTTTTCTAAAAAAGCTTTTCTTTCGCATGTAATGAACTATCGATAATATTTCTTTTTTTTTTTGAGACAAATGCATCGAAAAAGACAAGAAGCAAAGAGCAAAAGAAAATAAACAAAAAAAAATTGCAACACGTGTTATAAAAAAAAACAAACAGATAAGAAAGAATAAAACAATCTAAGCGAAGTAATGCATATCTCTTCTAAAGATTTTCAATTGAATTATATGTATTATCGTTTTCTTTTTTCATCTATAATTAATTGACTTGTAACTTGGACTTATTTCAGTTATTCAATTTTTAACAATACATAAAAATAAAGATTGAATAATAGAATAACTATTTTAAAGTATTAAATGCAAATTAAAAAATGTAGAATCATCTTAAAAAATATCAAAAAAAAATTATAGAAAAAGAAATGTATAAACGAATTGAAATCAAGGGAGAACAGGTGGACTTCTGCGCTTCTCTATACTTCTTGGGACTTTTAGGAACTTCTCGTACTTCTTCGTACTTCTCTGTATTTCTTCATACTGTTCGGTACTTCTTTGTATTTCTTGTACTCCTCCGTACTATTCGGCAATTTTCGGTATTTTGACAATGGATTAAATTTTTTTTACACTTTTACTATATATGAATCCTAGTGTTATGGTATCCATGAGTAGTTACTTAAGGTTATCCAAAAGTAGTGACGGAGGTTCTTTTTTTTCTTATAGAAAGCTTGAAAAAATTTTCTTTTTTTATGAATAGACAGAGCGTCTTTCGCTCTATCTTTCTATGCTATTTGACCACTATTAAACTAATATCATAATAATAAAATTTCGGTAAGAGCTATTTTTGTTGAAAACCAGTTGGTAACATTTAGTTCATAATGAGTGTGGTATTTTTGCATTCCACTTTATTATCACATAATATGCTGTATTGAAAAAACGAAATATACCAGAAGATGCAGCGTGAGGGTGGGTGTGGGTGTGTGGGTGCGGGTGCTGTGTGGGTGTGGGTGGGTGTGAGTGTGGGTGTGGGTGGGTGTGAGTGGGTGGGTGTGTGGGTGTGGGTGGGTGGGTCGGTGTGGGTGGGTGGGTCGGTGTGGGTGGGTGGGTTTGGATAAATAGGAAACCCTTACGTAGATCCAGACTCGGACCCATACACCCACACTCGCAAGCCTATTAAATGATTATATCGCAGATCCAATCCCATATTGCTTTTACGACGCTTTTTTCTTCTATCAAGATTACTTTTGTTTGGAGAAAAATTAAGTGCCTTAGAAAGCAGTGTAGCAATATCGAATTTCTATTTATCGAAAGATCACATTGTGCGCTTCATCACAGATCGTGATCGACATCTTAATTAATTAATTAATTAGTGTTTAATCGACTAATTAACCGTGACAGACCATGACAGATTTCCTTCGTGGGTCGTCATAGTGCCTGATCGCCACCTACAAGAGACTATCAGATGTTATGTATAACTAACATCTAATTGGAGTATTCATGGAGTATCTCCTTCCTAAAGTTCTGCGCTGTAAATTTAACAATATTGATGGAATATACCCAGTATACATAAAAACGACCATTTTTTAGGGGATTAGTAACAATAGGTATATCGTGTTTCACATTTTAATCCTGCACAGATTGTGCTAACAGCTTTCTTCAGTATAGTTAAAAACAAAGTACATCGATATATAAAAAATGAAACGAAAATAATTTTTTTTTCCATTTTTTTGTCTTCTATCGATTCAATTGCGACTACTCACACTTTAATTTTCGGTGATTTATTTTCTAATGTTATTGTGGACTTTTGTGTCGTTCATAGCAGTTTCCAGTGGGTGTTTTCCTTATGATACGAAGTTTACCAAGTCCGGCGATACGATTCTGGTACCAACTGCCGCACGCAACCAATGGTGGTGTCCTGCAAATAGATTTTATGGATGGCTAGGGTAATTTTTACTGTTTTTCTGTTCTATACCATGATTTCGAAGATAATTGTTATTAACGAAAACTTGCTCACTAAAATATAAACTTATGATATTTTAGATATGTTCGTGACTTGAAAGGTTGGTCATGTGGTGATTTTGTCTATTCACTGGCTCGTCTTCGACAAGATTTCAAAAAGATGGCTGATGATGGTGCCAAAATGGTACGAATATACGGTCCAATTTGTGAACAACAAATGGTCTGGGATAATATTGTACAAGCAGCTGCTGAAAATAACCTGTCAGTTTCTTAGATATTTTTCTTATATCTCTAACATTAATAGGTACGATTATTGTAGTGGAGTACTCGGTATTGTCTGGCATGGATATAGCGATGCTGAACTTAGTAAATGGGAAGAACGGAAAAATTCTCTACTTGCAGTTCTCAGAAAGCCACTGAGCAAATATGTCATTCATTCCGTTTCGTTCGGTTCAGAACCATTATTTTCATGGAGCATTTCAGGTATTTTTGTTTCCGAATTACAAAAAATAAAGAGTGAATTGAAAGCATTGGATATTCCACTCACTGTTAGCGAGGTAAGTCACTTATTTTCCAAGCCTTCTTATATTAAATCACTTGTATCTCTCTGAATTGTGACAAAATAGATGAAATATGGGTATGATATTGCTCCTGCTGCTGCAAGAAATGCTGTTATCAATAACATTGATTTTATTTCTGCACACAGTATGTTATTTTTTTTGATAAATCATCTCATGTAAAACGAAATTACAATTTGATAGTCATGCCTTATTATGGCACATGTGATATGCCTGGAGCAGTGTGGGGTGTTATAGAGAGAGAAATAGAAGCGTTCAAGCGCATGATTCCTGATAAACAAATCATGATTACTCAAAATCCTTGGGGCTCAAGTAAAAACGGTCGCAATCGTGGATCAAACTGTGGATCTGATGTGTGGAAAGGTGTTTCTTTGGAAGGTGCTAATGAATATTGGAGACTTTGGACGAGTCGTTGTCAATATTTTAAACAACAACAAATTGGATGGTTTGCACATACATTTTCGGTATGTAGTTAAAGTTTGATTGATAAAATATATTATCTGAAATGTTTGATTCTGTTTAGGCCGATTCGGAGTTTAATTTTGGAATTTATGGTCCGCGCACTGATGTGGTGCCATATCCGCGCCATATCGATTTTAAGCCTGTTTCTTGCTAAATAATTTTCTCTTGTACTGAAATTCAATTGAAATATATAAAAATTTCTCAAGAGAAAAACATGATCGCTGTACTGGGTTATTCATGTGACAAATAGTAGGATCCATGAGAACAGCGGAAATCCTGATATTCGCCATTGGCGAATGTCCTATTGGCGAAAGTCTTATAGACGAACTTCTGGTAACTCATACCAAAAGATACAACGTGAAAAGC